CACTAGGCGTGCTTTGCGTGAGAGAGACGAGAACGGAAAATTCAAAAAGAAGGTATCGGCTTCCGCGTAGGTACTTTTAACTGCCTCCCGGCCTAGGAAGAAGGCCAAATGTGTGGCCTCCTCCCCGGAACTTGGGACGGGGATATTCATCCCGATCCATCCATGGAGATAGTTGAGACTCCTGACGAATCGCGGTCCCCCCCGGCCAGGAGACTCACGAGGGCAGCGAAGAGGAAGGAGTTGGAGGAGAAGGGCATGTCAATGGAAGAGGAGGAGGAGGAGCTGGCAGAATTGCCGAAGTTGGAAACGGAGCTGCTGGTCCTTCGTGGAGCTCGCTCAACGACTCTCCTATCTGTGGGCCTTGACAAGCTTGGGCTCCTGGAGGAACTGAGGTCCCGAAGCAAGAGGCTTCAGTGGGGTATCAGCGGCAAAATGAAAATTCAAATTGCCGTTATGACCGAGATTGTTTGGGACTTGGCCCACAGAGCAGAGGAGCGAGGGGATCTCACGTGGCTGAGGCCAGCTGTGCGAAGTAAAGGAGGAGCGGGATGCGGCCAGAGAGAGGGAACTTCAGCTCCAGAAGCGGGTGCGGAGCCTGGAGGACCGCCTAGCGAAGTTGGAGGCGACGCAGGACAGTAGCTCGGTGCGCGGGCCTCCGTTGCATCTAATGGCCGATCCGGATCCGTGGCCTCGGGCTTCATTCTGCCCTCGTTGAGCGGAGCTGCGGAGAACATCGTGGTGGAGCCCGATGTCTCCGCTTTACTGGGTGCGACGAGCAACGTGGATACGAGGAAAATCCGAGCTGGTGGCGAGCGCGTGTGCGAGCGAGCGAACCGGCGAGCGAGAGAGAGCGTGCGAGCGTGGTTGAGGGCGTGCGAGCGAGGGCGGGTAGGCGTGCACCCGCGGTGGTGTTGGGATCGGCTGCCGCGGCCGCCCATGGGGGGGCTCCTGGAGATGAGGCTTCTCCCCTTTCCTTGGGAGGTCGGCGTGGCAGGAGTGATTGTACTCGGCAGGCGATGTGCTCTTGTGAGGCTGCGAGCCCTGGCTTGATTCCGTTTCCCGCTGTGGCGGGTCGACGTACTGCCTTCGATGGTGCGGGGGACATGCGGATGCTTGGCGTCCGGGCGGGTGACCGAGGTTCTGATATGCCCGTGGCCAGGAAGGGTGTTCCCCAAATTATTGATAACATTCAGTTGGTGCCTCCGTCGGGATGGCCCCTCTCGGCTATGGTGGCGTCACCTCTGGGGTCTCCGGGGCCTCTGCCTCGGACGCTGCGTCGGCGAGTGGCGCGGCGTAGCGGACGACCATGAGCCGTAGCGCGAAGCGACGTGCGCGGCGCAAGCGGAAGGCGCTCTCTGATAGAGCTTGCGTGGGTGTTTCGCTGGGCCCTGAGGGACCTGCGACCCAGCGAGAGGGGGTCCTCTGCAGAAGGGCACCCCTGCGAGGTTGAGGATTGGTGTCGGCAGGGGATCACGGCGTGTGAGTGCTTCCAGGGGGGACCTGGGACTAGGCCTAGACTGAGGCCCCCACGCACGGCCGCTGTAGGTCTTAAGGGGAAGTGGGAGGCCTTCTCCTACGCGGAGGCTCTTTTAAAAGCCAGAGAGGAGGTTTCCCTGAAGGATTTGAGGGTTGAGGCTCTGAGGATCCGGCGTGCGGCGAACGGTGGCCGTATTCTGGAGATTCCGGGTCCGGACGGCTCCGCTAGGGCTGATTTCTTTGCGGCCAAGCTGCGGGAAGTTCTGGGGGATAGCGCGCTGGTCACACACCCCATCGCCAGGGGCGAGCTCCGTCTGATCGGCTTGGACGACTCGGTGACCGCTGGTGAGGTAACTGAAGTCGTGGCGGATGGGGGCGGTTGTGAGGTGTCAGACGTCCGGATGGGCCCCATTAGACTAATGTCCACTGGTATGGGGTCGGTCTGCAGTGTCCCCTGGTTGCCGCGCTGAAGCTGGCGGGTCTGGGATGTGTCAGGGTGGGATGGGTCTCTGCTCGAGTGGTACTGCTTAAGGCGAGACCCATTCAGTGCTTCAAATGTCGGGGCTATGGCCACGTGCGAGACGCGTGTCCAGCCAGCCAGGAGAGGGATGACGCGTGTTTCAACTGCGGGCGACCGGGGCATGTTGCACGTAAGTGTGGACTACCGTCCTGGTGCGTGGTGTGCGCGGAGGGCGGCTGTGACGGCAACCACCGTCTCGGCTCCTCCGGGTGCGCCGCGCGTGCGGACGGGGGGGGAGGGCGGCGTCGGCTCGGGGGGCCGCTCGGCCTGGCCAGCCATAACCGTGTGGTTCCTGCAGGGGAATGTTAATCATTCCCTGCCGGAGCAGGATCTGCTGGTCCAAGAGGCGGCCCTGCTCGGCGCCGCCCTTTGCTTCGTCTCCGAGCCGCGGGTCGTTCCCGCCTCCCAGCATTGGCTGGGCAGCGGGAGTGGCCGTGCTGCGCTCTTCTGGAGGCCGGGGGCGTTGCCTGGCGGGTGCCGTCTGGTCGACCGGGGCCGGGATTTCGTTGTTGCGGATTGCGGTGATTTCTGCGCCGCCTGCGCGTACCTTCCGCCACGGGGGAGGAATCGCGGCTTTCCTCGGTCGGCTGGACGGGCTACGTGATGCGTTGTCCGGCCTTCGGGGGCGTATGGTTCTCCTGTGCAGGGATTTCAACGCCAGGTCCTGGCTTTGGGATCCCCGCCGGGAGAACCGTCGAGGGGAGGTCCTCTCGGAGTGGGCCGCCGAGATGGACCTCCACCTCCTCAATGTGGGTGGGGTTAGTACCTGTGTGCGGCCGCAGGGTGTGTCCGTGGTCGATCTGTCCTGGGCCTCTCCCGGATTTGCGGGGAGAGTCACGGGGTGGTCGGTGTTGGAGGGAGTCGAGACTCTCCGGCCACCTCTATATTAAGTTTGCCATTTTGCCGTTGGGGGAGTCCGGGGGGGTGGAGGGGGTCACAGCGGGATTTACCCCCGCTAGGACTTCTCAAAGCTCCGCCCGGACGATCTGACCGCTTCTTTGGAGGAGCGGTATGCCTTTGGAGAGGCCCAGGCGACCACTGCTGAGGGCCTGGCGGGCTGGGTGTTGCAGACCATGGCTCGTACCTGCGACGACTCGGCCCCCAGGTCCCGGCTTTGTAGGGGTGGTGGTGGTAGGCGTGTCTCCTCCGTTTATTGGTGGACGGAGGAGATCGCTGGGCTGCGTCGGGCCTGCTTGCGGGGTCGGCGCGGCTTTACTAGGTGTAGAACGTCGGGGTACTCGTGTGTATTGTGAGTGTTGTGTCGTCTTTCGCCTAGCCAAGCGGGGTTTACCCCCGCTGGGACTTCTCAAAGCTCCGCCCGGACGATCTAACCGCTTCTTTGGAGGAGCGGTATGCCTTTGGCAGGGTCTGCCAAAGGCTGTATGCCTCAGCAGTGGTTGCCGGGAGAGGCCCAGGTGACCACTGCTGAGGGCCTGGCGAGCTGGGTGTTGCAGACCATGGCTCGTACCTGCGACTACTCGGCCCCCAGGTCCTGACTTTGTAGGGGTGGTGATGGTAGGCGTGTCTCCTCCGTCTATTGGTGGACGGAGGAGATCGCTGGGCTGCGTCGGGCCTGCTTGTCGGGCTCGGTGCGGCTTTACTAGGTGTAGAACGTCGGGGTACTCGTGTGTATTGTGAGTGTTGTGTCGTCTTTCGCCTAGCCAAGCGGGACCTTCAGAAGGCTATCATAGCCGCGAAGGTCCGCGCTTGGGAGGACCTGGTTCGGTCGGTTGAGAAGGATCCGTGCGGGCTGCAGTATAAGCACGACCGTATAAGCTCGTGTTAAAACGGCTTAGACGGTCGTCGCCAGCCCTCACGGAGACCCTCGGAGAGGAGGAAGAGGTACTGGAGTTCCCAGTACCTCTCCCTCGTCCTCTCCCCCAAAACGGCCAGGGCCTTCCCCAAACGGCCCTGGCCGTTTTGGGGAAGATCAGGGCCGGTAATCCGGCCCCTGGCCCGGATGGTGTCCCTGCCGGAATCTGGCGGAAGGCGTCCATGGCGTTTATAAAAATAATAATGAGACTTTTCAACAAGTGCCTAATGGAGGGTATTTTTCCTCCGAGTGGAGGCATGCGAGGCTCGTCCTAATCCCCAAAGGTGGCGCGGAACCGGCCGGGCCGCTTCGAGCCCGCCCCATCTGCCTCCTCAACGAGATCGGTAAGATCTTCGAGAGAGTGCTGGTGGGGCAGGTGAAGTGCTGGATGGCGGATCATCCGTCGGCCTCCCTGTCTGATTCCCAGTATGGATTTCGGGCGGGTAGGTCGATGGTGGACGCCCTCCTTCGGGTCCGCGATTTTGTGTCGCATGCAGTGTCGGACGGGGGTGCAGCCGTGGCGGTCGGGTTGGACGTGGTGAACGCGTTCAACTCGGTGCCGCGGTCGCACATTTTGCATGCTCTGTGGGAGAAAGGTTTCCCCCTCTACCTCCGGCGCGTGGTGGGGTCCTACTTATCCGACAGGACGGTGGAATTCCCTGTCCGCGGCGGTGGTGTGAGGTCTCGGGATGTAGTGGCGGGTGTCCCCCAAAGGTCTGTCCTGGGCCCCCTCCTCTGGAATGTGGTATATGACCGCGTGCTCAACGCTCGTCTCGAACCTGGATGCGAGGTCATTTGCTATGCGGACGAAACCTTAATCTTGGCTGCGGGCCCCTCCATGGAAAGGGCTTCGGTCCGTGCCACCTTTCAGGTGACATTCACGGTGGAGTGTATCGCTGGCCTTGGGCTCAATGTGTCGGCGGGTAAGACGGTAGCAGCCATGTTCCACGGGAAGAGGGCCCGTGGGCGGGCTCCTCCGGTGGAGGTGTATGTTCGTGTGGGGGCGATTACGTTGCGGTTGGTGATCGTATGAAGTATCTCGGAGTGATCCTGGATAGTCGCATGACTTTCAGGCCTCACTTCGAGTATGCGCGGACGAAGGTCGCGACGGTCGCGAAGGCCCTGGGCAGGCTGATGCCCAATTTGCGGTGCCCCGGGGAGGCCCGGCGTCGGTTGTACGCAACCGTAATGATGTCTGTGATTCTCTACGGGGCGCCCGTTTGGGTTGAGGCTTTTGCTGCAACTCAACGAGCCCAGGTGGACCTGAGGCGCATTCAACGCCAAATCGCGCTGAGGGTGGTGTCCGGGTACAGTACAGTGTCGTACGTGGCTGCGACCTTCTTGGCTCGGATGCCGCCCGTTGACATCCTGGCGGCGTCTCGTCGCCGGATGTACGAGAGGGCTCGCGACCTTCGTCCGTACGGGTTGTGGACGTCCGAGGCGGTTGCGGAGGCCCGGGCTGCGGAGGAGCTGCTGGTCCGCCGGCAGTGGCTTCTGCAGCTCCGGCCCCCGGGATTGCCTAGTGTTCGTGTTCGTGACGCGATCCTGCAGGAGTTTAATCTCTGGCTGGATCGTCCGCATCGTGGCGGCCTGACCTTTCATGTTACGCAGTTGCTGACGGGCCACGGGGTGTTCGCGGAATTTCTGAATAAAATAGGGAAGTATCCATCTCCGCAGTGTCACCACTGCGGAGACGCGCGCGATGATGCGCAGCACACCCTGCAGCACTGCGTGGCATGGCGGGTGCAGCGCGAGGAGTTGGTGAGAGGGGTGGGCGGGGATTTGTCCCTGCCGGCGGTCGTGCGGGGGAGCCTCCGCTCTCGTCGGGCCTGGTCGGCCGTGGCGAGATTCGCCGCGGTCGTGCTGGGATCGAAGGAGAATGCGGAGAGGGCTCGCGAGAGGGCCGCCGACCGCTGAGTCGCGGGCTCTTCCCCCTCTTCCTCCTCCCAATCGGGGGATCGGAGTTGGTCCGCTCCCTCCCCCGGCTACGCGCCTTTGTCTTCGTCTTCCTCGTCGTCGTCGTTGTCCGGGGTGTCGGGTTCGTCGTCGTCGTCGTCGTCGTTGTCGTCGTCGTCGTCTGTTGATCGTCGTCGTCGTCGTCATCATCGTCGTCGTTTGTCCGTTTCGTCATCTTCGTTGTCTTCGTCGCCGTCGTGGTCCTCGTCATCGTCGCTGTCCTCGAGGGGGGGGGAGTTTCTTCGAGTCCGCATGATGAACAACATCATCCGTTTGACCCGGGGGGCGGGGGTAGGTAGGGAGAGATGCGGCTCTCCCACCTGAGTTTGACGTTGTGGCGCGCATGTGTGGCGGGGAGTCCGGATGGCTAAATGCCGTCTTGCATGGTGTTTCCCGGGCTCTCCGCACTCAGCACGTTGTGGGCCGGGGAGGGGGGGTTTAGTGAGTACAAGCCCCACACTACCCTGGGATCACCTCCTGCATGGGCCCCAGGGTGTGCGTCAGGCATTTCCCCTCCTTAACAAAAAAAAAAGGCAAAGCATCTTGTAACTCGGCTTGAGATTACAAGAGATGTTCAAAATGTTCCCCATTGACCGTTTGATAGTGTGTTTGACAGGTCAAGGTTGAAAATGTCATATCCGAACATAAAATTTTTCAATCTTGACACTTTTAGGTCAAAAGTATGGATTTTCAGTCCTAAAAAAGTCCGGTTTGACCTTGATAATAATCTTAACTCATGATCTTGAGAATAAGAGCAAGGTCACAGCTGAATGTCCCTCGTTGACCTCTACATTTTTATTCTTATGCGTAACATTGCTCCCTATCAGGTGCATTTTCGAAGATATTCGCGTTTTCAGCCTAAAACAAGCTTAGACCTTTATGTGACCTTCAGAGATCAAATTTGGCAGTGTTCAAGGTCATCCGAACGTAAAATTTTCCGCTCTTTTCATTTCTGGGATCAAAAGTATGGAGTCCCATTTTAAAAAATTAACCTGACCTTGAAATGACCTTCAAGATCATTGTCAAGGTCAAATCCAAGGTCACCGTCAGATAGCCAGGAGAAAATCATAAAAATCCAGTACTTCGCATTTTTTCTAGGACTCATATTTTTCGAGTTATTCTGCTCTTCCGGGACTTTTATAACACCCTGCATATACGTTCTTCTTATTTATTAAATATAAATATATATAGACTTTACCGAAAATGTTTTTTAAACTCATCATCTGTGAGCGAATGAATCACATCCATATAATTTTTGCAGCGCGGTATTAAACACAGTGGTTGCATATTTCTTCTGTAGGCTAAATAATATTATAAGCATCTTCCTCATTTGTTGAATCGTTTAATGAGTCGGATGAATCAAATAACTCAATTACTTTAATTGAAACTGCAGGAATCTCAATGCTATTTTTGTTTATGTTATATATTTAACCGTGGATGCATTCCGGTATTCGTCAAGACTGGCAGTACTGCAATTGTCGTTCCGTTATAAGGTGGAGAAAGCAACATAAGTAATTACGGAACGCACCGCAAGCGCTACTTTATGATGTCACGTTCTCAGCACTAGTAGTGAATATCGGAACGCAGCCTATTTCAGTGCTATCAGCACGAGAGCGTCCAAAGCGAATGTGTGAAATAATGGGTGCATTCCGATATTCACTGCCAGTGCTGTGAACGTGACGTCATAAAGCAGTGCTGGCGATGTGTTCTGTAATAGCTTATATCGCTTTTCCTTCCCTATAACGGAACGACAATTGCAGTATTGTCAGTACTGGAGTGAATTTTGAAATATACCTCGATCATTAGATATATAACCTAAAATGTCAATAATGTCAATGTGTTCAATAAAAGCGATTAAACTGCTTGATTCATCCGAGTCGGATTTCATAGACGAAGAAGATGAATCTATATTATTGAATAAAAATCATGGGACACCTCAGCGTTCAATTCCGCGTTTCAGAAATTATATGGGCGTGGTTCATTCTTTTACAAATGATGAATTTAAAACACATTTTCGGTAAAGTTTATATAAATTGTATATTTAATATATATATAGGAGTTATATATATATATATATATATATATATATGAGGACAGTCTGGAAAGTTCTCGCTTAATAATGAAAGAAATTTTTTTTGTCGCAAAATATATTTTATTTTTCAATATAATCTCCTGAAACTTCAATACATTTATTCCAACATTTTTCCAATAATTTAATACCATCATTAAAGTGTAAATCCGAAAGGTTCTTTTCGCTCTGGTCTATAGTGATGGATCCAAGTTTCAACAATTATGAAACGACGCTTGAAATCCATTTTATTTTGCTTAAAACGATCCAAACACGCTTGAGAAATACGCATTCGAATGCATTTTTGGTCAATTGTTAGCAAATGCGGCACCCATCTTGCATAAAGCTTTTTCAACTGGTGATGCTACTTGAATGACGACAGATCGAATAAAATTTTACATGGGTTTATACCCAGTGAAAACAAACTAGTCAAAATGATGTAAAATTGCCATCAAATTGATGAGGGATATGATGTCAAAAAGAGTAATCAAAATGACAGTAGAAATGACTGCAAAACGTCCCATAGGTTGATGGTCATTTTGATTATCATTTTGATCTCATTTTGATGATTATTTGATGTCAAAGTAAAAATGGATACTAATGAACACCTAGTAACATTAACATACCAATGCTATAATTTCCCATTCAACATTACAAATATAACACGTGTTACGTAACAGTTATATAATTAAATGGGAAATTAGAACATTAGTTTTAAGTTGCCGTTATTCATGTTCACTGAGTATTTTTTGTAAGAATAAATGCAAGATTAAATTATATGGAATAAAAGTATAGATAAATTGGATGGATGCCAATTGACCACAGTTTTGATTGGACACAGCCAATAATATTACTCAAATTTAAACTTAACTCTATTTCATTAGGTAATTTGATTGGCTAAGACCAATTGCAACGTGAGCAAATGAGACGTTTCCGACAACTTAAATACAAAAATATATTACATATGATTTTTTATTTTGGTGTATTTTAGATTTGATACAATCCGTGAGAGCGTTAAGCGGAAAGTACACAAAGTAATATACAAACTATGTTATCATATAAAGACTTTAAATCAAAATAAACAATTATTACAAATAATATCAAATCATTATAAATCTTGTCATAAATGCGATCACAAATCTTATCATAAATGTAATGCGACATCTAAAATTTTGGAAAACATTTTATATATCCTTGTTAAATTTAAAAGAAAAAAAGTCTGAAAACTTGACTTTATAACGAAGTTATTAGGGTAAATATAAATTTAGTTAACAACTAAATTTAGTACATAGCAAGTAAACTAAAAACTTTAATAAAATATATATCTGTGTAATACGACATACGATTTCCACATTAGGAAAAAATCAGTCTTCTTACACAAATTTATGTGTTCCATTATAAAAGTAACGTATTGCACATGAAATAAATCAAGATTCTCACTAAGCCATTTAAATCTGTCAGAGATTGGGTGCGTTTCGTTTCTTGTATTAAACGCATAATGCGCATACACAGTCTGTCCCAGATCCAATGAGACTGGTCTAAAAAAATACAAAGTGTTTATTATTTTGATTTTTTATTCTTGTTTATTCAAAATAGTCTCCTCCTGAGTCAATACAGCGCTGGAAACGTTCAACAAATTTTTCGAAACATTTTTTATACTCATCGGCTGGAATGGCCTTTAGTATGGCGGTCGAAGTCTTTTGGATGACCGGGATGGTATCGAAACGATTTCCTTTCATCGCCAATTTCAGTTTGGGAAATAGCCAGAAGTCGCACGAAGCCAAATCAGGTGAATACGGTGGATGATCGATAACAATGATGCCTTTTTTGGCCAAGAATTCACGTACCATGATGGCTTTATGCGATGGTGCATTATCGTGCAACAAAAACCAACTGCCTGGCTCTCGCTATTCCGATCGAACTCGTCGAATTCTGGCCCACAATCGTTGTGGAACTCCCAGATAATATCTGGGCAGACACACAGCGGTCGCTTCGAAGAATTTCTTTGACTTTCTCGATGTTTTCTTCATTGCGAGTGGTTTTTGGCGGCGGTGCTCGGTCATCGTCTGCAAGGTCCTCACGACCGTCACGGAATCGGCCAAACCAAAACCCGGAAAACCTGTGCACGGGACATGCATTCATCCCCGTACACATTTTTTAGCATTTCGTACGTTTCTGCACCACTTTTATCCAATTTAAAAGTTTTCGACCGACGTACACAAAGTGACTTTACATAAAATGTCAAACCACAGTGAAATATCAATCAAATTCGCTCAAATTTTGAGGTTGAGTAGATGAAGGGTAGAACATTCACCTACCATCATTCATAGATATCGCTGCGCTAAGAACTTTGATGGAACCAGTTTCATCGTATCTGGGACAGACTGTGTATTTCCTATAATATACGTAACATGAACTATGGATAAATGTATGTATCATGCGTTTCATGCGAGCAACGGAACGCATCCTAAAAGAATACAAACAAAAAATTAACATCAATAATAATTCTGTAATCATAATATCAGTAACGAAAAACTATAATATATGTGAGTGGATTGTGTTAAGCATCAGAGTCATGAGACTCATTAACTCTTCTACCATTCGCAGTTTGGAGCCAACGCTTGATTTTGGCTTCAGCGTCAGTAAGAAAGCTATGAGGAAATCGTAATTTAACTGCATCTGCATAATAATTATACAAAAATAATTATAATATAATAATATTATTAATAAAACAAACGCAATAATATGTATATTTCAATAATATGTATATTTCATGTATCATATGGGTACTAATAAAAAAATTAACTTCATGCCAGTAATATAAGAACAACGGGATTTATGTGATAAATAAAAAATTGACAACTTACTAAATACAATTTCACATTGTTTTGTC